AATGGATGAATAAGAATGATTTACTAGATTTTTCTAATATTTCGCACTGGCATATTTTATCACGGTATAGACATCATAATCTTTTTTAGTTTACTGTTGAAGAAGTTTCTGCCAGGTTTAACGACAAATTCATTCTCTGAAAACACATTGTTATACTTTTAGAATATTTTAGCACGTAGCACACACTTTTACACAGCCTTCAACGACAACAGTTGTGATTTACTATTCTCGATTGATTAAGTCCCTATCAAAAATTGTTTTCTTTCGCTGAATAAATCGTTTTCATAATCCACAGATGTAATATACATAATCAGGAGCTGTGAATTTGTACATTCAGATGTATTCTAAGGTAGATATCAATAAAAAAGTTTAACTTACCCCGTTAAGTGATGTTCCCTGAATGGAGTACGTGATGAAGGGTGTAAACTCCAAATATATGATATACATACGTTTCTATAGATAACGCAGCGTCCTAAATACTTTGGAGAGGATCAACAGGTGCAAATATCCAACTATTTGAGTACTGGTAAATAATTAAATATTTTTCTATCTTACAACATGAAAAATATTTATTAGTTCAGGTAGGAAAACATTTAAATAAGATAGAAAAATATTTAATTGATTTTTAATATTAGTTGTTTAATATTTTTCGGTATACCCGCCTGCTTACCCTGGATACCTTGAATGGATACATAATAAGTACCTAGAAAATGTATAGAAAAAGTTCACCTAAGTGTTTAAAAGATAAATCGACAAAATGCCGAGCTGACTGGAAAAAAGTATATTTTTAACTTTCTCTACAACTAGACTGACTAAAAAGTCGATTCTCGCGCTACTGGATGTCTCTTAGTCTTCTCGTCAATATTTGAAGGTTTGAACTCATTTAAACAAGTCATTTTGATACTAGAGCAAATATAGTGTAATGACAAAATTCCCCAGTTGACAAGTAAAAGCCAATCGTTTCGTAAGGCAAACCCTAGTGAAAGTACTCATACTATGGGTAAGACTTTACTTATAATTCGTCCAGGAGTACTCATATGAGTTCTACTAACAACTTTTGAGTATTTTTACTCAGTGAGTACTCACAAAATATTCATTTACCATTTTGTTTTACAAAAATGAAACTGTATGAAGAACGTAGAATTTAGTAAAGCAACATAGGATATTTATATGACATTTTTCTCGCTGGGCTCTCTGTATATAGTCAGAGATTGACACGTCTGTGAATAGACTTATAGTCCAACTCTGGCTGCCTGAGACTCCTCTATATAAAAATATCAGATGAATTATACTCATGAGTATTTTGCCAAAAGTTATATGCGTACTCAACAATACTCAAGCATGAATACTCAACGTCGTTTTCATAGTACTCATTACTCACTCATGAGTACTCGATGAGTACTCAAAATATATGAGTACGTATGAGTACGTATGAGTACTTGTCCGGTTTTTCCAGCAGAGTACTTTTTGAGTACTCACGGATGAGTACATTCACTAGGGAAGAGACACAGACAAAGATGCTTGCAACAGAGAAATGTTGCGGCTTTCTTTTAAAAGAACTTTATTCAGACTTAGGTATGCAACAGTTACGGTTACGGAACAGTTAACTGTAGCAGTTATAATCGTAACTACTCATAACTGTTGGCCATCAGGTTGCAAACTATGAAAACTACGTTCAGAAAACGGCTTTATCGGGAAAAAAACTAAAGCTGCAAGAGAAACACAGTGTTTTCAACTGTGAAAGCGTCGTTTATAAGGTAAAACTAGTTTGATACGGAATAGGATAACATTTTTGAAAATACTATTTGATACTTCTATTTTGTAGGTTTATCCTGATTTAATCAAATGTTCTGGTCTCTTCTGAGACTGTCTTCGATGACAACGAATTAAAATTTTTAAAAATTAAGACATGAATTCAACAAATATGTTCTTTTTAATATACTAGAACATGAGAAAATTAATAAAATATCATCCACTGTGTCCTGGACTAGATGTTTAACCTTAAGTAAGCATTTGTGAAGTTGTTAACATTTGCCATCATCTGTTTAGCTTAATAGTAATTCATTGTGAGCATTTTCAATACATGTTACAAGATCCGAATAAGAATATCGAATTAGTTTGACCTTTTACAGAGAGATCAACGAGAAAAAAATTAATATAAATATTCGCTATCATGGTTCTTGAGTTACAGGGGGGGGGGGGGGGGGGGGGGATGGGTGGTGGGTGTTTTTTTTTTAAAAAATAAGCCCAAGCATTGGGTTGCGGGTTGAGATGGTTGTAATTTTTTTTTGNCCCCCCCCCCCCCCCCCCCCCCCCCCCCCCCCCCCCCCCCCCCCCCCCCCCCCCCCCCCACTACTTTTGCGGGATTATTTTTTGAAAAAATACCCCTACTCAAAGGGTTGAGCGTTTTAACGTATTCCATTTTTTTTCGTTTATACTCTAGTTTAGAATACGATGGTGTTACTACACTATGTAATAAAAGAGCTTGTGTTTTAGAAACATTTATTGGAAGAATTATTATCATCAGAAAACTTTTCTAATGATTTTAGTACTACTTTAGCTCTCTCCTCTAATTCGATGATGTTAAGTGAGAATTTCTTTTCCAAAGAACTAGTTAAGACAACAGGTAAACCATCAGCAAATAACTGTGTTATCAATTTGGGTAACCTATTTGGAGTCTAAGTTCTTTGCAAAGAGATAATAAAAGACGTCTACCCGTAGTAAAATCTGATTGTTCGTCACCATAAATGTTATTTTCCTCAAACCATTTCAGTATTCTTTGATGTATTCCTTTTATACCATTTTTCTAAATTCGGTAACAAAGAAATCGGACTTAATCGGTTTTTCTCACGATCAGTGTAGAGTCCGTCTTTTAACAAACAGATTACCTTAACATGTTTACTTTTATCAACAAATAAACCTTTCTACGCGCATTTATTAAATAAAACTGTTATTATTTTAAAGCATTCATCTAGTAAAAATATAAATTGGATAAAATTGGATAAATTGAATTTATCAATTAACTTCATATTTATGAGATATGATGCCTTCTGCTAAAGCAGCAGTCTACAATCAAAAGAATAATTCAAGCTTTGATTGCATAGCTCAAGCAAATAATTGTATCCTACTAATTATGTACGCTTTATCATACGCTATTTTCCACCGTGTGAAATTGTATCAAATAAGCTTCAGAACAAGCGATGAATAATACTAGAATTGGAACTGCATCGATCGATTTCTATATAAACAATTTGCCATGTGGTCGATCGATTAAGTCCAGTTGATTATTGAAGTCTAGAAGAATGGAACGTTCCATGTTATGATTTTTCTTGCGCAAGTCACTCTCTCCCTTCGAATACTTTCTCTCTCTCAGATCATTAAGAACAGTATTATTAACGGACAGTTTCTACATCGGTCATCACCGTTTTTACACCATGTAATTCGGACTTACGTGAAAATCGATCCATTTACGGTTCTCTTTAAACACTTAGCATTCGTTCACTTACTTGTATCTTGTCAACTTGTAACACTTGTCAAGTGATTTGTTCCAATACTTGGAAACAAGTACATTCACTAGGATTATTTTCCAAGTTGTATTTCATCGGGAAACGATGAAGGGTTGAAATTTTCAAATTTTGTTTGATTAGAAGTACCTTTCTGTATCCGATTATGTTAGTTCAACAGAAAAAGTTTTGAGTTTTTCGGATACATCCAGTAAACTAAAATTGTTTACTCTTTTTAGATAGTTATGCTACAGAGTGTAAAAAGTGCATAAAATCATAATTTATGTTTTAATGTTAGCATAATTTATTATTGAAAAAATATTATCATTATTAGTTATTCCTTTCTCACGAAATAAAATTGTAACAAAAAAGAAAAGTAAAGAGATAGAAGACTTCTTAAAACTTAAAAGATGTTTATAAACACATACGAGAAAAAAAAATGTTTTTGTTCAGAAACAAAAAACTGTTGTTACATATAACATATTTTCGAGCTCTACATTAATAAATTATTGCAAATGCATTATGTTCTCAAGCGAAAATTCACATAGAATTTGAGAAAGAAAATCGAATATTTTTGTTCACATACACAAACAGAAAATATTGGAATGAAAAAAAAAACGGTTAAAACAGAGAAAATAGTTATGAAAACTCGAAGCTATGCACAAAAAAAAGTCGAGGGACGGATGAACACTTTTTGATCACAATATATGATTAATGAAAGGTATCTACCTACAATTTAAGCATATTAGAGATAATAGGAACTTAAAGTAATGGTCGTTTTATAAATGTTTATATGTCTATTTTGACTCTAGCACTTAAATTCTAACAATCAAACTCTTACAATTTTTAAAAACTTCTAACGACAAAATTATAGCAGAATCAGCACAAACTTTGTTGTTAAATAGTGAACTTTTTGTAGTCTACATTTAAGTAGTCGTTATAGAAAAAATCTTGTCTATGAAACGTTTTCTAGAATTGTGATCCGTCCCTATTAATACATGAAAAAAAATAGTATTAAAAAAAAGCTATATAACAGTGAGACAAATATCTTGGTAAAAACTGAAAGTAGATAATAAAGAAAATATCGATTGTACTATTAGCCAAGTGTATAAATAAACTGTTCTCAAGATGGATATTGTCTCGCAGATCTATATGAACAGTAAGTGGTAATATTGCAATCAATTGCACAAATATAAAAAAGTATCCATTCTTTTTTCAGAAAAAAAATGTTTTCTTTCTTAATTTTAGTTCAAAAGATGCACATGTTGCACAACTGGAAGACGGCAAAAATGTTCACTGTAATAGTGGTAGTAGTAAATTTCAGACGAAAAAAAAAAGACAGTATAATTTTAACAAAAATTGCAGAAAAAAAGACATTGAACGTGGACATCGAAAATAAATAAACTTTTCGAAATATTTACAATAGCCAATTTGTTTTGTGAATAGCAAAACTTGATTATTCTAATCTAGACATCACTGCAGACGCATAGTTTGTTTTCACCGACTGTGAGCAGACACTTTACTCCATGCAGATGGTGTCCGAGAATGATGTTGACTGCCACTAAACACTTGTTGTTGTTGCTGTTGTTGTTGTTGACTCAAATATTTTTCTTGTCGAGTTTTTTCACGTACAGTTAATTTAACATCTTGATTTTCTTTTTGAACAAGAGCATAGAATACATTACAATGGTCAGGTATCACAATTTCTAAAGCAGAATAGATATTACAAATTATTGTTTTAATATTTTCTTTGTTTTCAATCCTCATATTCTCACGTGAGATCCCTACGGATCAGATGAAAACCTAAAGATTAAGGGTCACCCTGTCAAAAAACTTCATTTTTGTCCATACATGGTTGTATAGCCCTAAGTATCTACTTTCAACTGCACCGCAATTTATCGTTTTTATGATAGTTTTTTTGAATATTTCACAGTCTTCATTCGATTTGTCACAGTCGATAGCGTCTGACAAACTACTCTCAGTTTTTTCTTACGTCGCTTTATCAAGCAGAAGAAGGATTTTTAAAAGCAAATCTTGTTTTGCGTTTTCTCAAAATCGTTTTTTTAAGTTTTAGACGTTCGTGCGGCAAAGGTTTCCTCGCCATTTTAAGTGCTAAAAAGCTTGAGGTGGTCTTAAAATGTAGCCAAGGTTGATTACTACAACTTAGCAGAGCCAAATTTTTGATTCTGCACTTAGTTTTTGAGAAAAATGAAGCTGTCCAAGAAGTCAGCGGAAATTTTTTCAACTTTTTCCATAAAAGCTTAGGAAAACTAAAGAAAAAAAATTTGAAAAATCCGACTTAGTCATATTGTAATGACAAGTCTTGGCTACATTTTAAGATCCCCTCGAGCTTTTTAGCACTTAAGATCGCGAAGAAATCTATGCCACATGAACATCTACTATTTGACTTTGAGTTAGGACAACTCTGGGGAAACTCAGCAACATGGGCTCAAACTTTTATTGTCATCCTTCTATACTCCTACGGCCAAGGGATATCGTTGCTATGGTCTTAAACATTTTTTTGCGGTGGATTTTCATGATCCTAAATATATTGCAAAAGAATTGTATTCAATTAATATCCATTCTAAACAAAAACTGAGTTTGAACACTTCTAACCAGATATAGAATGCATCAGCAGTTTGAGGCGAAAATAGGTTTCTGTTGAGAAGATCCTTAGTAATTCTTCCGTTAAAGAATAGAAAGAGAAAAACATCGTCTTACTTCTCTCTGGTAATTGTTGTTCGATACAATAGTTTTCATAAACATTAGGATCTACTCCAAATTTCTCCAAAACAGTTTTCAGAACGCTACTCGTTCGCTCATTATTAAGAATCTAAATAGATACAACAATCTTTATTTATTATAAATGGCAAACAAGATAGTTTAATCTTACTCGAATACATTTATATAATAAATCAGCTTGACTAGCTAATTGTACTTTAGCTATGATACATTCATCAGTAGCTGCCGACGATGAACTACCTGACGTTAAAAAACTAGAAGCAGATGACGAACGAGAATGACTGGGAGCTACCTAAATAGAAACATAAAGTAAACAGATGATAATAACGGACATAAATTAATTTTTCAATTTTAATGAACATCAAAGAACTCTTCTTTTATTCTACTTACTGTTCTAAGTGTATTTCTTGGCAGTGAATTCGTTGAATTTGTACTCATTTTGTCTAAACTCATTGAACTTGGTGATGAACGAATTGAAGATGAATGAGCAAGTGAATCCAACGAGGCAACGGATGGTGGACGGCGCAAGTGTGGACTAAACATTAGAGAAACATGGATAAATTTTAAAAACAACTTGGTTAGTAATAAACACTTACGGTTTTCCATTTCCATTAACTTGATCCTGTTGCTGTTGTTGTTGTTCTGTATGTAGATCTTTTTCTTCGCTTTGCGGTTCGACTTGATACGATAGTTGCCAGCTAAGGAAAACGAAAATGATAGATGTGTTAGCATAGAACACACAAACCACGTCTATAAAACACTAGATCATGGTACTTTTTGCCATCTCAAATATTGTAAAACACATGATGAACGTACATTTGCAATGAGATGTTTTTCGGTACACAAAGATTTACCTTTCTGAATCAGTGTATGTTCTAACATTGTCAAACCATTGTTTAAACCTTTTTATAGGCATAATTCGATAAGAATTGGCAGCTGATTGAAATAATTTTAATTGAGCCAATATTTCAAATTCTTTTCGACGTTTCTCGAAATTAATCAAATGCTCGATTTGATTTGGAAATGCTGAATCAATATATGTTAAATCACTCAGATATAAACCCAAATAAGGAACGGTACCGATCATTGTCTAGAACGATCAAGATATACAGTGAGTAAAAACTGAAAATCATCCTACAATCAGTATCTGATTAGTTAAATTTTTCTATACAAAACTAAGCGTTGAGCAGCAGCGGCAGCTTATCTATCAACTAAAATATGATTTTATTTTACAAAAGACACTTTTGTCTCCGAAAAGTTATCTTTCGCAACATTCTTTTGTATTTCCTTCAAATTTTGGAAAATATCTCCATTCTGATACCAAATCCTCACAATACCCATGTTCGACACATACGATAATTATATCGTTTTATCAGAACCAGAAAATTTAATAGAAGACATGCTAATAATATGAAAAGAGACATGCAGTACAGTAACTGGAGAACATAAACGAGTCGTACTGTCGCATGTCACTATCCATTTCGGGGAGAATACGCTCAAATCGTTTAATCTTCTTTCTTAGAGTGTAATAATTACTCTAAACTTGTAATGTAAAATATCTTGCTTAACAATCTTTACATAAATAGTTACTATTACTGCTAATTCTTACAGGTCTATTGTCACGATTCATTTTTTGCCGTAATTTTCGCCCAAGTGTACCGTGGATTGTATTTACGTCAACGTATTTCGCTGTACCTTCCTAGAACGAATGATCAAAATTTTTTTTCTAACAGAAAAGCATGTTTTCTAAACAAACAGAGGTTCACTACTAAAATTTTTTGCAACAAAAAAATAAATAAACGAAAGCATTGTGTGAGAAAGCAACGCTGGTGTGGTGTTGTGAATTCATTTATATTTGTAGTTTTTAATCAATAAACTAAAAATATGTCACTTTCGATATCTCTAAGAAGATTGAATAAGGGAAACTTCAAATTAACATAAACTCTTATCAATCATAACCCGACCTTTTTCTATATTTATGATGCAAACATGCAACAACAAGCAAAAAAAAACACATATTGAGCATAACAAATCATAAGGAAACGAAAATATCATGCGGATCAAAAATATTGACAAGCTTATCAATCATTGTTTTAAAAGACGCTGCATTTTTTGTGTCACAAGAGCAAGCATTTTGTATGGCGCATACTAGCGATGTGCTTCTATATTAAAAAACGAACCTACACTGCAGTCAGCCAAACGGATGTCGTCTAACAGCTACAAAAATAATAACGAGAATAAACGAACATTGGTCGTTATTAAAGTCAAACCAAACACACATGCTCTCTCATTTACACACATCATCGAGTTTGCCAATAGATACTAACTTTATTCAATATTTGTCTTGCTTGTTTTCTATCAGCACAACTACCAAATACTGTTCTTAATTCATCAAATATTATCATTTTTGACCTAAATAAAAGAAATAACGTGGAAAGACTTATCGTTACAATGTAATTATAATTGGATCTTACTTTGAAACAAATTGCCAAGTAAACTGTAAACGATGAACGCAACAGGATGATAGTCCATTTAAGATTGCTGTTAGTGAAGAGAAATTTTTCAAATTTCGACATTCCTAAAAGTAAACTAGAACTTAAGACGATAGTTCAAATAAAACCATAGGATGTCTATACGTACTTGTGCAATATCAATCCATTTTTCAATAATTTGCGCTCGTTTTGGCTGTGATAAAGAGATATCTTTTAAAATTGTTGCCATAACTCTCCCTACGACGGCATTGAAATGATCAATTGTGGCTGCTACGGTAGATAATTGTTGATGATGAATTTTTGATAGAGATCTTTTATCGATGTTTAAACATTCGTATGGTATGACACGTTTTAATAATTCCTACAAAGATACAAAAGATGTATTTTTATTTTTATAGAAGAGTCAATGTTAAATCTACTTACTGCGTCAACATAGGTTAGCTGTTCGGCAAATAATGAATTTGGAATGTCAACAAATTCCCACGGCATCAGATAGTCGTAACCGTGTATACCGTATAATTCACCATCTGCTTCAGAATATTTCATTGAAGAGAAAGAATCTTCAGTTATTGTTCCTGAAAGTAAATATAATACATACATAAATAGAAAAGTTCTCCAACTACTTTGTACAGAGCTGCTGAACGATAAGTACTCGAGTATCACTTTTTATGTACTTGTTACTCGGCTCGTACTCACACTAGAGGCTTTGTACTCGGTCACTCATACATGTATTTGGGAAAAACTGTTTCGTACGAAAACTTTTAAATTGTAATTGTAATATTTCACATGCTGTTAGGGGTCGAGGAAGAAAAGGCGGAAGAAGTTTGGGTGGTTTTCATCGGAAGAAAAAAGAAAGAAATCAATAATTAGACAAGCAAGCAAGAGATAGAATTCAACTAAGATGTTGTACTTTAAGTACTGAAAAGATAGCCACACATGTGGGAAGTATTAGTACTTCATCCTATAGAAGGTTACTGGAACTTGAATATATTAAAATAAGTTCACACTGAAAAATGCAATAATGTGTAGAAAAATTCATTGGTTTTTTTTTTGAAAAAAAATTCACTCGCACTTGAGAATCTGTACTCGGTGCTTGATTCACACTTGGCAATCAAATACTTGTAATTGAAAATGCAGTACTCTTACTCGAGAAAACCTATACTCGTCCAGCTGGTAAATGAAGTACTACTCTATAAGATTTTTCTAATATTAATTAGAGAGTTTTTATGGTCTTACCTGACTTTCTGTCTTCTTCTTCGATGAATTTGTCTAATAATGTCTGACATTGTTTTTTTAATTCATGATCATTAATTGCTTTTGAAAAATCGAGTAGACGTCTCAGACACGTATAACGTGGTGGATCAAGAAAATCTTCTTTGTATGTTGTCAATAGACAACCAAGTGCTAAGCGAATACTCCTGAAATAAACAAAAAACAAATCGATATTATATTTTCTCAATAAAAATCAAAAGAAAAACAATGTACTCCATTCCACTATCACATCACATAAATAATACAAAATAATAAACATATTATTAACGCAACAACTACTAACAGTAACAACATCATTTATGTATGCAAAAATTAAAAAATAAAGCTTTAGAACTAAGTGAATAAAATTGTGATAGTAGCATGGACGAGAACCCACTTATATTCGCTACATTTGCGCTCACTATAAAAAAAGATAGAGAGCACAAAACTAGCAAATAACAACTATATTTATCTCCATTAGAGAAGATTACATGCTTGTCTATCCGATAATTCTGATTTAGAATTCAAAACTTACTTGAGATTTTTCTGTCGAATACCTTCGGTCATATCCAGTGTGGCAGGAACAATGGATTCGTATCTAAAAATAGAAGAAAAAGGCAGAAGTAGACTATCACCAGTGACAATTTATCTAAAAACTATTACCTTTGTATAATTTCTTCGCATAATGTTAAGGGATCCGTAAAACTTCTATATGTTGCAAATAGAGTATGCATATGAGTTGAATCCAACTCTCCTCGATCATTTGTTAAATATTCGACAATTTTTGCTAATGTACCTGCTTTTAATTGAACAACTTTAACAGTATGATATAGCAGTGAGCCATCCACCGGCGTTGTCGACAATGAGTCAGAAGTCTGAAAAAACGAAAAATATTTATTAGAAAAAAAAATTAAACTCAATCATTTTCTCTTTTCTTACTAGTTGAATTTCATCTGAATCTACTCTTTGTCGAACACGTTTCAAATAAATTCGATATATAGCATCATCTTGTTTCTCTTCGCATAATAAATATAGTTGATGCCCATTCTAAATTAGAAAAAAATATTAAAAATGATGAAGAGAATTTTGATTAAAAAAGAATAGAGTGTGAAATACAAAAAATTGAATAACGGGCACTCAATCACTCTATTTTATGAAACTATAATTCTTTTTTCTTAAGCATTATAAACACAAATAATATATTTATGAAGGAAACAAAAACAAAAGAATAATTTCAGTTAGGATCAAGTATGTCACAAGGAGAAGAAGAGTGCGTCTGGTCTCCTTGACCGTAAACATTAATATTACATCAAAAGGTGGTTGATAAAAGTGTAGATACACAAAAAAAATAAATAGTTAAAAAGTTGACTTAAAGAACAACTAAAAACTAACCGTTTGCCTCCTTATATAAAATAAATAGTCTTTCGTCTATTTTCTAGATAAGTTCTTATCATTTCGTGTCACGCGTAAAACATATGTATAACCAACCGTTATAAAAAAAAACAACAATAAATTGATGTTCCATATTCTCAAAAAAAATTGTACAGCCGGAACAATCCCATTATTTCATACAAACATTTCGGAAAATATCAAGAAAGTCATCGATGAATTCAGATCGAATGATCAAATAGAAAAGAAAAACTAAGAAAAAAAGTGATTTCTTGCAGGGGGGGGATCTAATGCAAATTGTTCAAAGTTATTTGTTACATTAATATGTACTTAGAATAATTGAGGCAAACGCTAGACGATCTTTTTAATATAAAGAAACAATGGAATGGATTTCAATCTCGATATAGATTAATCTCATAAAAATACAAACTAAGACAGACTCACCAATTTTTCTGCATTCTTTTTTTGTATTAAAACATTTTTTGCATTAATATTTCCTATATTATTTACAGATGAACGTAGATTAAAAACAAGTTTATTTAAATTTTCATGTACACTAATTCGTTTCGATTTTAAATGTAAACTTGAATGACTCCAGTTAAAACGACGTAAAGACGCTGATGAAAGTGATATGGACGAAGATGGCTTTTGTGAAATACGAGAGACGACAGTCGGTGTTGATAATGTTTCATTTAACATCGTGGATAAATGATTTTAGATTTCACAATGTGTCAATAAAAGAGAGAAACATAAACTATTTTTTTTCACTGCTGCTGTTTGCTGTTGCTGATGATGATGATGATGATGATGATGTTATCGAATACTTATTATTGAATTTTACTCATCCTTTTGTTTTCTTTTTTCTGGAGAGATAGAATAGATGTTTATAAACGGTATGTTTTGTTTTCTCACATTTTTTTCCAATGAAGACAAAAAAAAAGAAGAGAGAGAGAAAATGTGTTTAGATAAAAATAAAATAAAAACAGAGAAAAAATATCAACATCTCCAGATACACGACGTGCAAGAGTGAAAGACAATTATGACAATCTGTGTGAAAGTAACAAGACTGATAACTATTCAATGGCAAATATTTTCATGAGAAAAAATATTTTATAAAAAATATGTAAATAAGACTGGCCCAAAATCAGGAATTACAAGGTTTCATAACTTATTTGACTGCAAACTGTATTTTTGTTTTTTGCACCTATTCTATTGATTTGTAAAAACAGATACATTATCATTTTTTTTCTTTTTTTTTCGTTTTGCCTAGATGAGATATAAACAACAACCAGATCACTTATGGTGTTTTGGTTGTTTTTAAAATTGCCTATCGCGAACATTTGAAACAGTTATTAGAATAAATGTTTTATTTGTGTTAGCCTTCTTTCATGTCAAATCGATATATAAGATAAGAAAATTATACACTGTCTGCATTTCCTTTGAACACATGACAGGTGTATAATATCCTAGTAGTAGCTTTTTAATAGCACTTTTAACTGCACTTTCTGGTATTCTAAGAATGAAAACTGTGCATTATTCATCAAAGTTATGTATTGTCCTTGATTTATATTTCAATCATGAGGTTCAACGAAAAAAAAATTCATTTTTTATTTTGTCCTAGACAAATATTCGAATGATGTATTCTGTTCTCTTCATCTGTATTGTTACAAAAAAAAAAATTCTAATCTTGTTTTACTATTACTGATAACGCGAGACGAATCATCATGTTGTATCTGCTATATATAACAATATATTTTTTTCATATAAAAATAAATCCTCATTAGATATATTTACAAACAAAGTGTCCCACACGACAATGGAATGTTTAGAATTGAGTTAAGTAAACGCGTAGTCATAAAGGATTTGTAATATACTGTAATTGTGGTCAGCATTCTTTTATTCTTTCTTTTTGTGTGCGCTATTAGATAATACACATTCTCGTTAATCACTATATAACCTTGTGCGCAACACCTTAATAATATCAATTTAATTAGCAAACACAAATAAGGAGAAATAGATTAGTTATTGTATAATAAATAAGATAATAGTCTGTCTCTCCATCCAAATAGAAATTACGTTAAATAGGGGTTTTTGAAACTATACAAATGTATACAGTGTGTCGCGAGAAAGGAGTAATCCGCATAAGATTTGAAATCTGCCCACTAAATTATTATTATTATTATTTTATTGCCTCAATGTATCCAGAACTCATAAAAGTTATCTTATTCGGTGCTTTAGACTTTATAAATTCTAAAGCACCGAATAAGATAACTCTAATGAGTTCTGGATACATTGAGGCAATAAAATAATAATAATAATTTAATGGACCGATTTCAAGTGTTATGCGGACTACTGCTTTATACGATCTTTTTTAAAGCATGCGAGATGTTTCCAGAGGAAGCGAGGATCGTAACATAATAACGATTTGGTAGTAGACTAGATCAAATACTTTGTTTTTAGAAAAAGATAAACATTTAAATAGGCAGCGGTCTGGAATCAAAGGATAACTGTTAAAATTTACGGCAATAAAAATTTCAGCAAATTTCTACACATGAAGAATTATGATTAACCTTTTTGCTCGTCACTGCTCTACAACTATTCCAGATAAACTATCATTAAAAATTAGCAAAAGAACGAATGCACCATCCGCTTAGATGCTCAACGAGGAGACTGCATGGGAATCTTTGGATGAATTTCTTTGGCTAGACTAGAAAAGTAGATCAATAAAGTGGTTCCTTCATGGCTAACCAAAAGATAGCTTATTGTATACTGCGCAATATTGTCGAGAAAATGAACAAACTTTAGAGTGAAAATCATCTAAACGACATAGATAAGTTGAGTTCAGTAGTCTTCTGTAAAAAGAGGCCATCCAAAGTAGAAAAATGATGCACTTTTAGAATGTGATGATTAAAGAAAATTATTCTCTAACACTCAAATAAATCGTCATATTGTAAAATTTTTACAAACAACCGTAGGTATAAATTATTACGAAGGAATTTATCAAACATCACATTCTACCGAGGCATAATCCATTAGAATAAAATAACTAAACAATAACATATTCACAAAAAACGTGCTCAGGTATTCTTCATCTATTTTCGCCATTAACTTACAGTGCTTTGTTTCTACGAAAAAAATTGATCCGAATGCTAATTATATCCTGTAGAAGTCTTGTTTTCTTCAACTATCAGCTTATGAAAGAAAATAATCTTGTTTTCTAAAATCCCATCAGATTCGAAAATCGTGAACTTCAAGCTAATATTTTGTTATTAATTTCAAGATTTATACATGAGGCTCGATTTCACTTCTGATTTGCAGAAAAGGGTATCAAAAGGTGTTGCAGTATATATGTGTGAAGGTTGAATAACAAAAAATAATTCATGCGAACAACAATAACAAATAATAAGAGAAATGAGGTTTTCAAATACATGCGTCATCGTCTTACTTGTCTTTCTTTACTTCCCATTGTGGCCCTTCTCGGTAATACCATTGATGACTTCATGATCACGACTTAAATTATCTAAATTATTTACGATTTTTATTATTTTTTATTATTTTTTATTTCATTACGATTTTTTTTACTTTTTTTTTTTCCGAGTGATTTAAGATTAATTTGACGTGCTCTCTTTCTCTGTATGTGTGTGTGTGTGTATTTGAACAATCAAGGACAACTTTAAGCTTTTTTCGATAAAATGATGTAATATTGATGATCAGGTTCAATGTATAGGGAGATTTAAATTATTATAATACATATTCGATTACAATATATAGTAGACAAAAATAAATAGATAAACACGTTTCTCAAATGAAACTGTTTTTTAGCCGAAAAAAAAATCGAGTATTGTCTACAGAAGTTGGTCTTCGACATGGCTCTCAACATTCTTCTTCGACTAGACATATATCCGTTTGAAAATAAAAATGAGATCTTGTATTAATTTCAAAAGAAATTCTTTACAAAATGTTCTTTTTTACTTTATATTTTCTATCTTTTGACGCTAAATATATCTTAACATACTGCAGAATAATAAGATCTATAATGTGTAACACATAGTTTTGTGTGCACAAAAGCACTGTGAAATCTTAACTTGCACTTGTTAGGAAAAACTACACTTTGTTCTCTTTAAAACTGTTCCATAACAAGACAGATAGACAGCACTAGGTTTTTCCAGTTACGATCAATAATACGATTTCGTCAGACATACAGCACGATCCGTTACAGCCATAGGTTTTCTGTCTTCGTCTTCCACTAGTTTCTCTCCACTCTTTCATCCAGGCATCCGAAAAAATATTTAAAATTTCTTATTACTACTCCACCACTATACATGAAGCAGTTCCACGTTGTATCATTAAACAGCTGTATTATTCATTAGAACTTTCGCGCAATTCGAACGAAAACTTCGTTCTTGGTGAACGTTTTGGAACATTGATATTAACTGTAGATGTAAATGTAGAATTTAGGTTATATGTAGTTTTTCAGAGAGGAAAAACCAGTTTAACTCACTGGACTTAACATAAAAAAATTTTCTTTCATGAACATCGTATATACCTTACGAAATTCTGGACTCGTCTCTACTAAATATATTAAAAATATCTTTAAGAACTAATTATAAAAAGGAAATCATTGTAAGAATTAAGGCATAAACGTCCATGAGTGCTGCATTTATAATGAGCCCTGCTCTATCTTGTCTTTTTACATAAAAAATAAGAAAATAAGAAACTCTCTTCACATGCCCGTTTTATATTGTATCGAGTCACTCTTTCATTTATATATTGAATCACAAGTACAAGAGTAGTTAGCAAACAACCATTATCAGTTAATATGCAAAGGTGCATGCGAAAAATGATGACATTTTACCATTCGTCTAACATAAAAGTATTAGTAGTCGAGCTATAACTGGAATATAAGCATAAGTGCTACATGCCTCAGTTCAACATGTAAGAATCATTCTTAAAACGATTTAAAGGAATCAGGACAATGATCCCGATTCCAGCGACGTAGGGTAATTTTAGTTATATTCTCTTTTGTTTGAAACAAATATATCTTAAACTAAGTAGATACACGTTTTCATTCATATTATTAAATAAACGAAGAGAAAACTACTTTTTTAAACTACTTTTATAGATGTTTTTCGTCTTCATTAAATCTACTGCGTACTAGTTAAAAAAGCAAAGTGTTGCACCTCTACTTCAGAATCTCGTTAGAAACATCGCAGAGTGATGAGACAAGGAGCAAATCGGAGAGATCCAATCTTAGATTATCAGAGTAACTAGTTTGGTCTGCCGATGATTTGTAAGATGTGGTTTCGCTTCAAAGAGTAAGAAAACAGCAAGTTACATAACAAAACTCAAACCTACAAGTTCGGTGTTGATGTGATAGTAGGTGTTGCTGTCATTGTTGTTGTTCGATTTAATACAAAGTGACATGGAAATTGGCTGTTTATATATTCGTGTTTACTTTCGTGGTAATAGTAGATCTTGTTCGGAGAAAGTCTCCATTACATTGGATTAGGAGAAAAAACGACGAAGAAAAATACAGAAACAAAAAAATCAATCACCAACGCAATGTGCCTAAAAAAAAATCACTCGCGATGAGTCATCGATCGACCATTAATATATTACAGAAAAATCCATCAATTTCACCAAACATGAAGATTGATTAGATAATGAAGCTTAGAAACTCGTAGCAGAATACATATTTA